AGGCAGAAATGTTGGTGTTTGCTCTGTCTGTGAGGCTTTTGTGTGCACACAGAGCCGGTGCTTGTGTATAAACATGTTTGTGAGACAGGGCAGGGTTTGTGCTGCTCGAGAGTCTGATGTGGAAAGGGAAATTCAAAGACATCCAGTGGATTCCTGGTGCTAAAGTGCCCCTTTCTGTGTCCTGGCCCAGGAATTCCTTGCTGGAAGCCTCGTGCAGGTGGTGGTTTGTGTGTTTGTTATGAACCTGCTGCTGGGCAGGCTGGGATGGAGCAGTGCTGGGGGTAGCTCAGTGGATCCCCTGGCTGGTGGTGGTGTTCCAGCGGCTCCCTGGCTCTGGCAGGGATGGAATTCCCTCTCCTGGGAGCTGTGCTTGGGATCTGTGGCTGAACCAGGCAGGTCTGGGCTGCGCTGAGCTGAGCTTGGCCAAGGTCAGGCCTTCCCTGCAGCCTGGAGGGATGTTGCAGACCTGGCTGGAGGGATATTCCACACCTGCAGTGTCCTGTTCCCAGGTAAAACCGGGACAGAGGAGGGAGGCCAGGGGCAGTTTGGCTCCCAGGGTGCTGCTGTGTGCAGTGGGAGGGGAGGAACACGGGCCTTGGCTTGGCCTTTGTCTCCCTTCCCCTGGCACGTTGTCCTTATCTTCTCCCAGGAGTTCTCTTCCCTAAGTGCTTCCTTTCCCTTTCCGTGCTTTTTTTGGGACCCAACAACCCCTGGTCCATTTTGGGGTCCAACCTGTTGGTGGGCTCTGTGATTCCAGCTCAGCTTTGCCGTTTGCTTTGCCCTGGGAAGCCCAGGATCCGGGAGCCTCTGGAGCCTGGGCTGGGATGTGGCCTCTGTTCCTGCCATCCAGGTGCTCCAGCACCATTCCATGGGGGCAAACAGCCATCCTGCCTCTGTCCTCCTGCTCCAGGACAGATCCTGCCCTGCTGCAGACACCCCTCTGTGTGTCCAGAGCATTCCTGGTGGTGGGAGCCGGGAGCCTGGGCTTGGTCTTGGCTCTTGGAATTCGGATCCTGCTGGATCTGGAGGTGGCAGCAGGAACGTGCCCGGAGGCAGCTCCTGGGTGGCCCAGGCGTGGGAGGATTTGGGAGCAGTTTTCACCTCTGTTATCCTGGGAATCTTTGCCTGAGCAGGCAGGGGATCCTGCTGGAATGACAGACCACCCGGAGGAGGGGCTGCCCTGGCTCTGCCAAAATCAGGGAGGGCCGGGCTGGACCTGGGCTGAGCTCACCTGGGCTGGGCTCAGCACCCTCAGAGGAGCTGGAGCGCCCCTGGATCGAGGGATACCATGGATGGACAGTGGATAAACCAGAGCGAGGCACGTCCTGCTGAAGGTGGGTGTCCCTCCAGGGGGTCTGTGCTGGCAGGGGCAGCACCCCGTGTGGCACCTGAGGAAGCTCCAGAGGGACAGTCCCAGGGCTCCGGGATCTGGGAGTTGCCACTTCCTGAGCCTGCTGGAGGCACGTCCAGGCTGCCGTGGCAGGGGCTGGATGAGGAATGATCCGACCAGGAGTCCCCCCTGAGGGCTCTGCCAGGGGCTGGGGCAGGTGGAGCCCCTCAGCTCCCACCAGACACCATCTCTGTGCCGGGAACAGCAAGGAAGAGGAGAATCCAGGTCCCTCCAGAGGCTGGTTTGGCTGTCAGAGGAACGCCGAGGAACCTGCAGAAGAGATCTGGTTGTTGGGATGTGGCCATGGCCCCATCCCTGGGGATATGGTCAGTCCTGGAGCAGCCCTCCCAGCCTGGGGGGTGCAGGGCCATCTTTATTTGTCTGCTCTGCAATTAGCACAGAGCCAGAAAATTCCGTGCTATTTATAGGGACAAATGGGAAAATTCTCCTTCCGGTGGCTCGCCAGACTTTCTCTTGTGATAAACCTTCCAGGGGACTCCAGAAATCCTCCTCCACCCTGTCCTGAGGTGCCAGAGCCAGCCTGGCACTGCCCCGGGGGGACGTTGGGGTTGGTGCCAGTGCTGTGCTGGGGCTGGCGGGTGTTTGGTGCTCACAGTGACCATGGACATGGCTCCAGGGGGTTGGGATCGTTCCCTCTGACCTGCAGCACGCAGAGCTTGGACTCCACGAGGCCCTGGGGGGGCTGGTGACGGGGACAGGAGTGGGTGAGGGGCTGCTGGGCTGGGTGTGAGCAGCCCCTCTGCCCCAGCTGGGCACTGGGAGGAACTGGGATGCATCAGCAGTGCTGGGGGTGCTCTCAGCCCTCCCTCCATCCACAGCACCTCCCTGCTTTCCCCTAAGGATTCCTCCAAGGCCGGGCTGGACGGGGCTCACAGCAACCTGCTCTAGTGGGAGGTGTCCCTGGGTGGGCTCTGGGGTCTCTCCCACCCAGCCCATCCCATGGCTCCCCTGGCACTGCAGCCCCAGCTCGGAGCTCTGGGAATGCCGGGGGTGTCCCTGTCCCAGCAGTGCCCCGGCTCAGACACTCCCCAGGCACAGCTGCTCTGAGGAGGAAGGTGAGCCCCTCCCCTGACATCCCTGGCCATTGTTTCCTTGGTCTTGGCGTTTCCTTAGACAGCATTTCCTGCTGTCCTTTCCAGCATTTCCTTTGGAAAGGTCACTCCGGACCCCCAGCTGGCAGTGGCTTCCTTCCCCACCACAACATTCTAGGATCCCTCCCTGGTTTGGGTGGGAAAGGACCTTAAATCCCATCCCACCCTGCCCTGGCCAGGCACACCTTCCATAGCCCAGGTTGCTCCAAGCCCATTCCAGCCTGGATCACCCTCCCTGGCCAGGCTGGGGAGGTGTGAGCTGAGGTGTGTTGGGATGAGCTGTGGCAGTGGTTCCAGATCCTGGGGTGGGATCATCCCTGCTCCCAGCACACAGGTGACCCAGTGACCTGCACCACCTGGAGGTGCCTTACTGGTAAAACTTCATCCCGCTGGACTCCTGGTTTGTTCTCTCCTCTGGGAGATTCCTGACCTGTTGGTTGTGTTTAACATTTGCTCTCCTCAAATATTCACGGTTGTTCTGGCGATGGGTGGCTTTGATAGTGTTCCCTTTCCAGCTGCTTCCCCCAGCAATGGGCCAAGAGGGATTTTTTGCCCTCCAGTGCTGAGAGTTCCAGGGAAACCCCAAACTGAAAGGCAGGAGGTGGCTCGGGGTGTTTGTTCACGTCTGCTTGGAAACTGTCTTGGGCAAACTTGGCCTCACGTGCAGCTCCCTTTGAAGTCCCACTGAACTTGTGGAGGGAGGAGGGACATTGGGCCAGGAGCCCTGGATGAGAGGCCGGAGTTTTGGGATTGCTGTCTGCTGGGAATCTGGTTATTATGGCTCCCTGTGTGTGACAGGATTGATGTTTGTCCTTGGCCTGAGCAGTTTGTACTCAGTCCCAATGAAGTGATTCCTGATAGAAGGGACACACAGATAGGAACAGGCTCCAGGAACGGAGCTGGGAAATCCTCTCCAGCGCCCGTGTATGGGTCATTCCCTGTGGGGTTTATTCCTCGTGCTCCTCAGGCTTCAGCACCTCAGTCCTTCCAGGTGACACCTCGGGAGAGTCACCCCTGCCTGCCAACAGCTGCTGTGTGGAGTCACCTCCCCGAGCTTGGAAAACCAGCCCTGTGACAGGAACCTCGGCGCTGCAGGAACCCGGGAGCATCAGGAACAGCGGGAGCAGCGGGAGCCGGGAACACTGCCGGGAACACTCCGTGACCCCTCGTGTGTCACTGCAGGAGCCAGAGCAGCACTTGGGCAGTTCTGGGGACGACAGAGGGGTCTGGGGGTGCCTCTGGTTGTGCCATTCGGGGTTCTCCTGGTCTGGGCTGGGACAGAGGGAACTCTTTAATCCCAGGAGCTGCTCCTGCAGTGCCGTGCTTTGGGCTGGGGGTGAGGATGCTGCTGAGAACACGCTGGTTTTTGGCTGTTGTTGTGCTCACCCTAAACCAAGGACTTCCCGGTGTCCCCCGCTCGGCCAGCGAGGAGCTGCACCACAGCTTTGCCACAGTTCTGTTGTTTTACTGTTCTTGTCTCAATCTTCATCCCTGGAAGTGTCCGAAGCCGTGTTGGACAAGGCTTGGGACAGCCTGGTCTGGTGGAAGGTGTCCCTGCCCATGGCAGGGGCTGGAATCAGATGCTCTTTAAGGTCCCTTCCAAACCACTCTGTGATTCTATTTCCAGAACTCTGTGGTGTTTAATTTTACTCTCCCTCTGTTTGTACCTGCTTTTCCTGCCTTACAGGACTGAACTCTCACTGGTTTGCCCCAAAATCAGACCCAGTTCCCACGGCCATGGTGCTTTTCTATGTGTCTAGATGGTTTTTTTGTTTCTGTATGATTTTACACCTCTCTGTTTCAAGTCCTTTCAATTTAAGCTCTTGCTTTTAACATCTGGGAAATGGAAATTTTCTATCCACAGAACCCAAGCGTTGTCACGCCCCGTGAATTCTTGCAGGGTTTAGTTGTTACCCATGAGAGTGTCATGGGAGTGTCCTCCTGGAAGCTGCTCCGACCTCAGCTCGGCTCCTCAGCGACCTGACACCGAGTTGTGACCGGTTTGAGTTCTCCATGTCATGGTTTCACTTCCAGTCCATCCCTCGTCAGCCTTTGGAGAGGGGCTTCACCCTTTGCCTCATTGCTTATAAAATGACCTGTAAACAACCCCAAACTCTGTTGTCCCGGGGAATTGAAGTGCCGGGTTTGAACCGGTGCTGTTCCAAGTGTCCTCTCTGGTTGTGTGACCTGTGACCTTGAGCTCATTGGCTAAAGCTCGTTGACTTAATTGCCTGTTCTCTATATTAAGGTTTTACACAGTGAAAGAGAATGTTTTTGTTTAACAGAATTTTGAGCTTTTTAACTGTCCCGCAGACCCCGTTTTGTGCCTTGGGTTGCTTTTCTCACCCGCTGTGAGCAGGTGACGAGACGAACCATCTAATCCTTGTCTTTTAACTTGCAGCTTTGTGTTGTTCTTGGAAAGTTTCGCACCACTTGTGAATTCCCTGAACCTTGGCCTTGGCGGCCCCCTTGTGTTGGGCCCTCCTCCCTTTCAGCTTGCCCAAATTAAGACCCACTTGGCTCTGCAGTCGTGGTCCTCGGTGTCCGGCGGCGGCGCGGCCCCTGCCCACGCTGGGTTCCGCCAGGCATTGCCCAAAGACGCAATGTTTAGCCCCAGAGGAACCTTGCCCCCCAGGCCCAGGGGACCCAACCCCTCGGGCAGCAAGCCTCCGGGATCCTTCGGGGGAGGAGGAGGGGCGGCGGGGCCGCAGAGGAAACCGGCGCCGGGAGCCCCCCAGGCAGCGCCCCAGAGACCCCCGGGCCAGGACTCGCTGCAGTGGACGGGCTCCCAGAGGATCAACGTGCGGGTCACGCTGCACAGGGCGGATCCCAGGAAGGTCAAGGAGAAGAACAACCTGCACCAGGAGCAGAAGGGAGACCCTCGGCCCAACCGCTGGGACAGCGGCCCGTGCCCGGCCGCGCCAAAGCCGCCCGCGCCGGTGCCGGTGCTGGAGCAGAACTCGAGCGCCCAGAACCGCTACACGCCCGAGAGCGCCTCCAGCATTTTAGCGAGCTTCGGGCTGTCCAACGAGGACCTGGAGGAGCTCAGCCGCTACCCCGACGACCAGCTGACCCCGGAGAACATGCCGCGGATCCTGCGCGAGATCCGCATCCGCAAGCTGGGCCAGCCCGCGCCCGGCCCGCGCGCCCCGGCCCGCGGGGACGAGCGGGGATCGGAGCCGGGCGGCGCGCCCGTCAAGGGCAAGGTCATCGACTATGGCCACGCCAGCAAGTACGGCTACACCGAGGACCCGCTGGAGGTGTGCCCCTACGGCCCCGAGGGGCTCCCGGAGCCGCCCCTGGAGGCCTGCGTGTACAACCCCGAGGGCCCGGGCGCGGACGGCAGGGAGGACGTGCCGCGGGAGCAGAGCGTGCCGGTGCCCGTGCCGCCGCCCGCCGTGCCCTGCAACCCCGTGTTCCCGGCCGAGGATCTCATGAAGCTGCCGGCCTTCCAGGGCGACTCGTCCGGCGCCCCGCCCTTCTTCCCGGCCGAGCCCCCGGCCAAGGTGTCGGGGCTGTGCCCGGCGCCCGCCGCGCTGCCCGTGGTGACGCCCGCGTCGCAGGCGCCGATGCCGCCGGTGCTGCCGCCCATGATGCCGGCCCTGCTGCCCACGCCGCTGGCGCAGCCCCTGCTGCCGCCCGTGATGCCGCCGCTGGTGCAGCCGCCCGTGTCCCAGCACGTCCTGCCGCCCGTGACGCCGCCGCCCTTCTCCGCCGGGCTCCTGGCCGCCATCAGCCAGCACGAGCAGAAGCAGCGCGACTCCGGCAGCGGCTCCGGCAGCGCCTCCGGGAGGTCCGGAGGGGGCCCCAAAGGCTTCCACGCCGAGGGGCCCATCAAGTCCCCGTTCGGGGTGGTGAAGGCGTCCTGGCTGCCCGTGTTCTCCGACACCCAGAAGAGCAAACGCCTGCCCACCCCGTCCATGATGAACGACTACTATGCGACGTCGCCGCGAATATTCCCACATTTGTGTTCTCTGTGTAACCTTGAATGCACTCAGATGAAGGTGAGTGTGTCTTTCCCAGATTATCCCCTAAGCGTGTGCCCGGCACCTCTCCTGTTTCGGGGCCAGGTTGTTTTCCTGGCAGTTCTCTGGATTGGGATGCTGGTCTCCAGCCTGAGTGCTGATGTGCTGGAAATGGCTGTAACGCTGTGTTCCTCTCCCAGTTGCATTTCACAGCTGTTTTTACACGTTGATTTTTAATTCTGTTTAATATCACAACTGGTTTCTGCCTCTGCAGCGGGTTTCAAACAACACCACAACAAACCCTTGGCAGTGGAGGGAAACATTAACATCATCAGGGGGACTGAAATCACGTCGCAGGGTGGGGAGACGTTCATGTGTTCACTCTCCCTGCTCCAAACTCTGCCTTCAAACAAACCAGCCCATTTAGAACCCGAAATTTCCTCTTCCAGACGTGCTCTGTGTGAATGTTCCAGGGGCTGGAGCCTGGCTCGGGGGGGACACACAAAATGCCTCCATTCATCCGGCCCAGCTTCCAGCTCTGAAGGGAGCCACAGTCCAGCCTTGAAGGGAGAATAAAAGGGAAAACTGATGGATACTGGGAGATAAAAAACATCCTGGAAGCTGTGGCTTTTCCTGGAAAGCCCAGCGTTTGATATATCAAAAATAAGGCAGAGGGTAACAAAAAACATTGAATAATTCATTAATAATTTTTTCACGTGTTTATATTGCACACAGTGTTTGAGCAACGTGGGGAAAGGCTGGGGGGGGGAAGGGACTTTTTGTAATTTGGCAAAATCCCGGAGGTTTTGGGCCCTGTTTCTGCTGTGAATTAAAAAACTGACTGGCTAAAGGTGGGTTAGGGAAAAATAAACAGAAATTCCCAAGGTCTTTCCCCCAGGAAGCACTGAGGGCCTGGGAGATGGGCAGCTTGGAAGTGGGAAAGGAAGCCTTGATTTAAAATAAAAATGGGTGAAATTGAACTAATCTGAGGGAGTGTTAACAAAGGGGAAAAGGGAATTAGAAAATTAAAGGGAAAAATAAAGGGAAGAAAAGAAGCACTTTGGGAGAGTGGGATCTGTGTAAATGGGAATTCTCCAGTCTCTCGCTTACGGGAGCCTGGGAAAATGAAGCAAATGTTGTTACTAAAAATACTTGTTGACAAATTAGCTGGGAGGTTTTGGGGGTGGATTAAAGGTTATGAGTTCTTGTCCTGGTGGCCCTGCAGCACAGGATGTGTTCCCAGACATCCTGATCCGACTGCAGCCTCCCAGCCTCTGCTCCTGTCCCACCTCCTTTGGCTCTGGCCTGGATTAGCTTCCTCCAGGGCAGTGTTTGGTGTCTGTGCACCTGAGGCCTCACGGGACCAGCCCTGCTGACACAACAGCGGGGCCAAAGAACCAGAAGAGTCGAAGTTTCACTGCAAAAAAGAAGAGTTTGTTGAAGAAACGCTGATCTTGTGGATGGGTGAAGTGCAGCGAACGAGGAATCCCTGAGGTTTGGATCTGCAGATCACCTGTCTCAGCTGAGACCCCCCTGCAGAGCTGCTCCAGCCCTGGGAACAACAGCACGAGGACGTGGAGCTGCTGCAGAGAGTCCAGAGGAGGCCCTGGAGCTGCTGCCAGGGCTGGAGCCAGGCAGCAAAGGGCAGAGTGTGACCCGAGGGCAGGTGAGGACGGTGGAAGATGCTGAATGAAGAAACACTTCTCTTCATCTCAATCCTGAAGGTGCTGAGTGTCTGAAGGGCAGGTTCCAGCCATGTCACAGTAGGGCATTCCCAGTTCAGGTTTCTCACAGTTTTCCATAGTTGCCTTTAGTCCCCTCTTGGACTGAAGTCCAAACTCACCTCAAATTCAACGGGGCTGAAGGAGAAGCTGAGTTGCCCCTTGGAAGAGAATTCCAGCACATTCCCTGCCATTGATTAGTAAAACCAGAGGTTTACACCTGGATGTGAGACATCCTCCCCTCCGTGTCCCTCCGGCCTGGCTCTGCCCTGAACGTGCCAACACTGGGAGCTGAGTGTTCTCTGGATTGAAAAACCCTTCTGTTGTTGCCCAAGTCGTCCTGTTGGCTGTCCCTGCAGCTCTTCCTTAATTATCTCCCCCAATTAAGGAGCTCTGATGAAATCCAAGCTGAAGATGGCCTGGAGGTGTCTGCAGTACCAGAACACAGAGGTTGGAGTGTCAGACAGAAAATGTGTTTTCCTGCTCTTCTGTAACGAAGAAACCGTCCTGAACCTCCCTCCTACAGACTTCAATGTGTTTTTAAGGTGGTTTTTGGCTAATGCACAGTTCAGAAGTCACAAGTTGTGGTATCTCCCATCTGCATCCGGAGTTGTGCTGGATCTGCCTGTGAAAAATAGATATTTTTAGACTTGGAACCCTTTTGGTAAGATGTGGATGGCCCTGGGGTGCAGTGATTGATGGCAGGTCAACAGACCCCTCACCTGCCCGAGCCACCGTGGGTTTGGGGTCAGTACAGGTGCCCAGGGGCTGACAGGTGGGTTTGGGGCAGCATCCCAAAGGGGACAGGCTCCCCCTTGTTTCTGCCTGTGTAGGAAGGGAGGTGGTCAGTGGTGGGTTTGGCAGTGCTGGGGAGGTTGGACTGGCTGATCTCAGAGGGCTTTTCCCACCTCAGTGAGTCTGGGAAGGTCCCTGTGGCTCCCTCAGGGTTGTAGGGAAGGGAACCCTCGCACGAGGTCGGCTTTTTGAGCCTTAAAAACGGGATTTGAGATGTAAATTGGTGCTGCTTGACCTGGAAGGTGTTCTCAAAAATTGGTGTCTTCGTGTCCTGCCACGTTTTCAGGGCAGAGTGTCCAGTTCTGCCCTTGGTCAGGTGGACTCTCACCTCCCTCTTGTCTCCTCTCAGCTGTTCCCAAACCCCTGGATGTATGGAAGCGCTGTGTGAATGTTTCACAGGGCAGCTCCATTTCCCACCTCAGCCTGGGTTATGCTGGGATAACAAAGTGGGATGTCTCCGCCTCCAAACACATCCCCTTTGGAATGCAGTGGACCTGCAGAGTTTCCAGCACAAAGGGATGGTGTTTCCTGTGTATTTATCACAAGCTTTGTTCTCCAAACTGATGTGAAGGGAGGGCGGAGTCGGCGTCTTGGACCTGGAACCGCACGAAGCCACGGGGACTCCTTGTTTTCCACAGAGAACTGCACTTGGAATTCCTTTGCTGAGGGGAGTGTGGGACTGGAGACACTTTGCTCCCTCCCCTGCTGTGTCAGGACCTTGCTGGTGGGGATCCCTGAGGCAGAGGAGGGTGGGATGGGATGAGGGAAGGTGGGGGGGAATTGGGTTGTGGAGCAGCTGCCGGAGGAGTCTGGATGGAAGTTCTTCCTCTGAGCAGGATGTGATGGGAAGGGATCCTGTCCTGGGGGGGAGGGATCCGTCTCTGGGGACTGATGGATGCCCAGAGATCCCTGGGAGTGTCCAAGGCCAGGTTGGAAGGGGCTTGGGGCAGCCTGGGCTGGTGGAAGGTGTCCCTGCCCACGGCAGGAGTGAGATGAGATGGACTTTTCCAACCCAGACTTTTCTGGGATTTTGTGATGAGTCTGTAGACAGTGGAATATTCCTGAAGACTGAGAAGGGCCAGGAATGAGTCAAAGAGGAGCAACATCCATAAACCCAGACTCCTGTAGCTCTGGGATGCAGGAGGGCTTTGGCACAGCAAAGACTTGGCAAAGAGAAGAACGTTGTCCTTGTCTGCTGGGAGGAGAATCCCCCTTTGTAATCCCAGGAACGGCATTGGATCAGCAGCTGGAGGCACTTGGAAACCAAATGCCCTCCCTGGGCCTCACTGGCACCGTGGCCCCTTCTCTGGCACCGTGGAAGCGGAATTCTGGGAGCCAAATTCCCTTTAATTTCTACCAGCTCGTTCGATTTAGCCCTTGTGTCCTGGCTAAATCGACTGGAAAAACGGGATCCTTTGAGCAGGATTGCTTAGAGATGGCCTGGAATTAGGGAAAACCAGTGTGTGATGGTGAATTGCTGCTTCTGACTCGTGAGCTGGATGCAGAGTGATCCCAGACAGGTTTCCTGCCTCGTTTGGGGCAGTTGGGATGAGCAGAACGTTGGGAACGTGGTGAGTGGATCCTCCAGTGCCTCCTGAGGTGGGTTGTTGGTGTCTGCAGAAAGCCACACCAAACCTTGTGCTTCAAATGTAGTTTAGTTCCATTAAGCCCCAGGTTTCTGGGAGTTTGGGAAGTCCTGGAGCACATCTGAGCTGGTGAGTGCCAGGAACGGCCATTCCCAGCCGGAGCTGTGCCCTTCCCAGGGATCCTTCCCCTCCCACCACGAGAGCTTTGGCAGAGGAACAAGAGGGTTTGATGCTGCCAGAGACACGTTGGAGCATCTTTTGTCTTCCAGACCAGCTTGTGCTTGGGAAAAGTGACATGGAATTTCACAGCTGGGAATTGTTTGCCCAGCCCGGCCTGCCAGCTGAATTTACAGCTGTTATTTTATATTAATTATTATAGATCTGATTGTATTTTATGCTCTTAGAGCAGCTGGAAGTTGGTTTTTTAGGAATATTTAATAATTATCACCGATACATTACACCTTAGAGTTTCAGACCATGGAATATCCCTTCTCCACAGCAAACTGACTCCTTTGCCTCCCAGCTCCCCACACTGGGAACTCTTTGCTCACAGTTAAACCTGAGCTTAAGGATTTGTAAGTAATATTAAGATATTTTTCAAGCTTGAGGGCTTGCACTGTCTCTACTAAACCCCTCAGTTTTCCTCAAGATAAACCCCTTGATGAGGTTGTTTTTTGTAAAATAAATCAGTGTGTGTGTGAAGAACGTCCCCAGGCTCTGGAGTGACCTTTAGCCGTGACGTGATTGGGGGTGAATGTTCTGGGGCTCCAGGCATGGGAAGCCAGGCTGGGGTGGGAATGAGATTTGACTTGGAGATGCCACGTCTGGGGTTCTGTGTTTTCTGGGCTTGCTGGGGGTGCTCATTGGTCTGACAGCCTGTGAAAGCCAATAATGGCTTTATTTCCTTTAATTTGCCCAGTTATTGGATCAGCCTTTCCTGATCCGTGTGGTGACAGCCCCCGGGGTGCTGGGGGGGTTTAATTCCTTCATTTATTTCATGGAACACGAGGCATTTTGTTCACCTTCCACTTTGTGTTCTGTGACACCCCGTGGTGATAATGTTTGAGTGGTTTTAATATCCCAAGTGGAAATTTTGACCTTAAGATCATTCCTGAGGTGAAATGTGGTGGAAGGCAAAACACACCAACCATCACTAGAGAGTGTGGGCAGGGCTGACGTGTTCCACTCTGATCCAACCTCTCCGGGTGTCCTTTCCATCCCCAGGACTGGATCCTGCACCAGAACAACCCTTCCCACATCGAGAGCTGCCGCAAGCTCCGCCAGCAGTAAGGGATCTACTTGGGATCCACCGGGAATGGCTTGGGAGGGGAGGGATCATAAATCCCAGCAGCAGTAAGGGATCTGCTTGGGATCCACCAGGAATGGCTTGGGAGGGGAGGGACAATAAATCCCAGCAGCAGTAAGGGATCTGCTTGGGATCCACTGGGAAT